GGTTGTAAACGCGCGCGAGACACATCATATGCTCGGTTCGCCAAACAATCTCGTGCGTCTCCATCGCGCAGCGATAGCGCATCTAGCAGCCTCTTTTTACGCTCCCATGAATAAGCTGCGTAATGGATATCATAGAAACGGAGAGGCGGGGGAGGTTGGCATCGTGCGTGCGGTTGCGATCGCGCGTTGATAGGCTTGCTTTAACACCGGTATTTACAGCAAGCTCGTCACGGAATCGCCGAGATAACGTCACGTATGACGGCATGGCCATCTCGTTCGACTCCATAAAATGTTACGCAAATTGTAATCATATTGTAACGGATTGTCTCGCGTTCTATCTGAATACTTCCGTGTAGCTAGATTCCTCCTCTACAACGTGTTGGAGCATCGATGTAACTGTAGCGTTAACATGTGCGTCGTAAACTCGAGATTATGCGGATTTTGATCGCTCGATAAGTGTTTCGGATTATTGACGTTAGTGATCCGATTTTGCCATTGATTGATTGATTGATAAAAAATTATAATATCAAAGAGATTGATTTTAGCCCGTCAAAATAAACTTGTAGAATATAATATCGTAGAATATAATAATAACATACATACAATACTTTAATAACAATTTAAAAAAATAAAACTACACAAAACTGATAATTTTGAATATTATATATACATTAAAGTTGTGTATGTGTGTGTGAATAATAAAATAATATTAATAAAATTATATTGAGTCATATAAAATCATAACATTAAACTAATCATAATATTACGATAAACATAGATCGGTTTATTATTTTTTCTTCGTGAGACAATCGATTATTTCTGCTTCTTCTCCCTCCTATTTCCACTGAACATTATCATCGCGAGTACCGCTATAATTGCACTTTGCGATCTCACGCATCCGTGCGTCGATGACTCAGGAAACGACATTGATCGTGATGATCGTGTACGACATACTTAAAATTCCTGAGAAACGAGACGCACGGATGCGTAAGAGTACGAAAAAGCACGGGAGAAAAAGGGAAAGGAAGAAACAAGGATGCAGGACCGAAGGGTAGGACAACATGGGGGAAACGTGGAGCGAGGACGAGATATACTCGTCTTGTGCGCGTCTTTCTCCGGATCCCTCGCCGCTTTCCTCCCCTCAAGAGCCTCATCCATCAGTCACTTAATATTTCAAAGCAGCGCCCTGTGCGCAACGTTTTCCCTCCCTCTCCTCCCCTTCGTTTCCCGAGACGCGCGGACGTCGTTGTGAGCCCATATCGCTCTTTTTAAAAGCTTAAAACACCAGAGTGGAGTTGCCGCATCAACATAGCCGAGAGCAAAGTTTTTAGACTTTAGCGAAGGGGATATTAGAGCGCGACGTCCTTTTCCCCTGCCCCCCCCCTCTCCCCCCCCCGCCCGAACGACGACAACGAGGATGATGACAGCAGCGGGGACACGAAGTGATGTGTGTCTCGCGTCGATTTCGTAAGGAGGGAAAAAGGAAACCTCGCGGGGCATCTCATCCCCTAGTTTTCCTCCCACCAGCTACTCCTTGGCTCCGCTCGAAATTCAAATTTCTCGTTTCACGCGACCGAATGGGATTCTTCCCTTCTCCCGTGAGCGAGCACCTACCTAAGTACGCGCCGCAGTCGTCGGAGTCGAGATCGATTCGCTCCGCGTCTCGCGGAAAGAAGGAGGGATGAAGGGGAGAAGGATGGTGTGCTCGCGAATACGGAGATAAAAGCCGTTGTTTTTTTTTCTTCTTTATCGCGGACGAAATGTGACTGGATTGTCTAGACTGATTCGAATGATAGAGATAAGCTCGATCTGAAGATGTAATTTCGAAATTTGACGAATAATTTCATAAGTATTATTGTGAAAGCCAAACTTAGTTGAAAGTAGAGAAACAGAACTCTAAAAATTTTTGAAAATAACTCGAAATGAATGAGCAAATTTTTAGAAATATTTTCAAAAAATGTAATTCTTGAAAATTAGCACCATGTGATATGAAAAAATTTACTGCTTTAAGAAAATGTCAGTGGAGTGTGATAGAGTTTATTCATGATACATATAATCGACGAGAATTATTTATTATTTACGATGCAAATGCATAAAATTGAGGATAGTTTTTTTATGCTTTATGTGTTTTCTGGAAACCTTCAAGAAAAAAGTACTCGAGAAAATCTTAAAAATATTCAGAATTTGTTTATGTATGTAGAAATGTGTATAGAAATGTATATATGTATAGAAAAAAATTACAGAAAAATTCTTTTAAAATATTACAAATATATATTTTGAAACAATTTGTGAGATCATCAATTTGAAATTAAATCTTATTAATTTAAAATGGAAAATTGTCAAGCCAATAACACATACACATTTTTTTTCTTGTGTACATTGATAACGATATATTAACAGATATGTTATCTTTTGATAATATTTATGTAGAATTATTAGCGGAAAGAATCCTGTTTTCATGAAATAATTTATCATTTATATAGTACATACAGACATACATATACACACACATCAAATAATAACATTTATTGCATTGTTAATTTCTATATTTTGAAAATCTATTTTTAATCTTTTTGCAATTTATATTATCTTTATTCAATGTATATCTATATTTAAAATCTTTTTTATATTCGTTTATTTTATTAATATTAATTCCGTGGTTATAATGTCATTATACATATATGTTTATAAATAAAATAATGATATACAAATAAAATTTATATAAATTTATATATATATATATATATATATATATATATATATATATAATATTATTTTATTATAAAACATTTAAAATTTCTTTTTAAAATTCTTTTAAAATATATTAAATACGTTCAACGATTTTATTTATGATAATAAAGATTATTATACGATATTAATCTATTATATCTTAATCAACGATTTTATTTATGATAATAAAGATTATTATACGATATTAATCTATTATATCTTAATCAACAATATCAATAATATATTAATCTCTTGTTCAACAAGTGTTGCAGCAATTCAATCAATTAAATCTTCCCAGAGATTGAGAAATATAAATAAGGATTCAAACATATTCGATAGAGAGAAAAATAAATTTGCTGTTTCATTTGAAAAATTCAATAAATAAATTATCATTTATTATCCTTTATTATCATTTAATTCTCAATAAATAATAGAAATTGCAAAATAGATTTAGTTTTGATAATCTACGCCTACTTTTTGCAGCATTAAAGTATATTACAAATAACAACGATAAAATATAAAAGTAAGTCTCCATTATTCATCAAAATAAATTATTTTTTTCTTGTATATTTCATATCTAACATAAAAAACATAACTTTATGTCTAATAATTTCTTTCTAAATATCTTGTTTTTACGACTTTTCAGTAATATTCGACAAGTTAAAGTTTCTCGTGTCTCCGATTACATCTCCACTCGACGAAGCTCGCGATCCGGTATTTTTCACTTCAATCGTCGTGAAGAGCACGATCGTGATCGCCGCGAGTTAAATTGGCGTAGACTTCTTCGCCGTAATTATAAATAGGATAGGAAAACGCGGAGAGGGGATCCGATACGTCGTGGACAGTGCCTGAAGCGGCCCCGAGGATGTTTCAGGAATATCGAGGACGTAATTATCCCGTAATTGCCGAGCGCGGTCTTGACTCTTGAGCAGAGTCTCGGCGGTTATCCGAGTGGGGATAGTCAGTGGTTGGCCTTGTGCAGTAATTGTACTAATTATTACTGGTCCCCTTTTCCCCCTCGCCCGCGCCCGTGCCCCATGCAACGCCGGTTTCTTCCCCCCGGCCGCCCAATTACCCCTGTTGGCCCGCGCGCGAGAGAGAGAATCCGGACTCGCGGAGATTTCAGAACCTCGTTTCTTGGAAAAAAAATCTTTGTTAGCACCCGAGAGAGATATGCCCGTCGTAAAATTAACGGTGGGAGGTGTTTCTTGGAAATCATAATTAATTTACGGCTGCATAAATTAGGGATAATCAACAAAGGATTAATATAAGGCATGCGAGTATAAGACGAAGTATCGATGTAGTTGCGAGTTAAATTTTGCGATGATTAAAAAAAGGAATTAAAAAAATTGTGTATATAACTGTATTTGCATAGAAATCATGCAGTAATTTATTGTCGTAATATTATTTAACATAATAGTATTTTGAATTTTAGGTGTCAAAAAAAGAATGTGTTTGTAATTCGAGAAGAGATTAATGTAGTAAATTTTCTCTAAAGTTCCAATTGTGGTAAATAAATCATACCTTATTTACTATATTTTTTATAAAATTAAATACACACAAAACAATATACACTTCATAACTTAATTTTTACAATTTAATTATATCGATAGTTGGTGATTTTATCACAATCATAATATGCGATAGAAAATAATTTTTCAAAAGTACGTTTAATAGATTAAATTGCACGCGCAATATTTTTTTATAACTACACATACATCAGATACTTCTCTATATATACCTGTTATTATCTATTATTATTTATTTTTATTTTATTAATCTTATATATAATTTTATATGTATGCCGTATATTTTATTTTATATATAATATTATTTATATATAATTTTATATGTAATGCCGTATATTTTATTTTATTAAAGGTCACACTTTCTATTAAGAGACAATAATTTAATGGAATAAATACAAATCTAATATATTAGAGCGTTGAATTAAAGAGCAATGATATATCAGGGCGCGATTCGTGACACTTACGGCCCTGAGACCATTGACATGACCTCATACGACGATCGACGACACGGAGAGCGATGTCGCGCGCGACGAAAAGTAAACATTGCCGCAGGCCGCGTGCGATCGTAATAGATAGAACCGAGTGCGAGAGAGACGAAACATATTCTTATCGAGACAATATCTCTGCTTACGCAGCACTGTTTTACGAGCAACTCGCTCCGTTCGAATAGAAAAGAAAGAAAGAAATTTACATCTCGTTAAAATTGACAGCAAAACGATCTGTCAGAAATGACTCACTTACCCTGCGCTTGTCGTATGCTGCCAGCCACTCGTCCGCCTTCCGTTTGTCGTAGAGCACCCTGGCGAGGTTGCCGTGTGGCCGGTAAGTCCGTACGGAGCGACTCGTCGCGGTCCCATCGCCACCGGGTCCGTCGACATTGCCGGTGACGCAGCAGGTGGCATCCTGACAACCGTAGGCGCACCTGACGACCTGGGGCTCGTCCGCGCCCGCCGCCATGCTTACCGCGAATTAACGCGCACACGTCCGAGCACGTCAACGGATCACTACTACGGACACATGGCGACCGAGCGGCGATATCTCGCGGCGTGAATCATCGAATCGACGAGCCCAATCGCGACGTCAACAAGGCGTAAATCGGGCGCCTTGTCGTCACGTAAACACCGCACTTCCTCAACACGTGGCCATATTGCGACGGTGACGACGCGTGTGAGGCGCGCCCGAAGCTTACAACTCGTCCGAAGTTTGCCGGTAATTGACCGACCGACCGACCGCGGCGTAGTCGTCGCGTGACGTCATCAGTTTGAAATGCGGTAAGTCGACGCGTCGTAAGCGATGTTGACATAGTTTTTTGCGCTCTCCTCGACTTTTCGTACATATTTCGTCAACTGTGTCAAGCGTGTCCGGTATGTGTGTGTGTGCGTGTGCGTACGTGTCGATACAAAGCGAGGGAGTGTCTGCATTACATCGAGAACAGTCGACGGAAGATGACTGCGATGATGTAAGGAAAACGGAGAATCAAAATCAAGTATGTTTCTCTCTTTCTCTATCATTTGTATATTTCTATATATGAAATATTCAAGTATCTCTATATTTCAAGCGATAAAAACATTTGCTCTCCGCAAAGTACTTCTTTAATTAAAGCATCGAAATTTGAGAATTCGCTCTCGGAAGTTATGGCGCTTTCACTTAACCTTTACGTTATGTAGATTGTTAGATGTTCACTTAACCTTTATGTTATTGTAGATTGTTAGATGTTCATTTATATCATTCCGGATAAACTGCGAATCGAACATTATCGCATGCGATGCGTTAATATGACGTTTAAAATATTCTTTAGACCATTGCGTCGAATATTCTTCCTGTGCATTATTTATTCTGCACATTTATCTGTTCCTATCTCTTTCTTGCATTACGTAAAATCAATCGAGAAGCGCGTAGAATAATCTACGTCACGATCGAACAAAGCATATACCGTGCTCCGAAACCATCGCACAAGCACGGTTTACATATCTCTCGCATTTTTTATCGGCTAACGTTCCTCCCCCGAAGAAAGTTACCGAGTTGGGCATGAAAGTTTTAGGCAGGATAAATATGGCACGGGGAGAGTACTCGGCGCACCAGTCCGATGAATATTTTAGACGCCATATTGACGCATCGCGCGCGATTCTCTCTCTCTCTCTCTCTCTCTCTCTCTCTCTCTCTCTCTCTCTCTCTCACTCACTCACTCACTCTCTCACTCACTCACTCTCTCTCACTCACTCACTCATCGGTCGGCTCGTTCGCACGCGCGCGCTGATAATTCATTAATTTATGATAAGCTCGACCACGCCGCCCACGGGCCACATCCTCTCCCTCTCCCACACGCCATAAATCATTTTCGCGTCTGACATTAATTGCGCGCCACCCCTCGTTACCAAGAGAAATGAGATTTTTTTAATTGGCGAATTTTTCACCGTCGCTGACACCCTGCCACCCGCTTCCGAATATTCCCCAGTTCTTGTAATACGTATTGAAGAGAAAGAGGAAGAGAGTGAAAGAGAGGAGAAGAAAAAGAGAGAATGTAGTATAAGATAATGTGCAATATGCCGTGCATAATGACTTTCTTAAATTTGACAATGATACGCTAAAAGGGTCTTTTATACTTTGCGCGAATCAAAATATGTTTTATAGCGATTTCATACCAGGCATTTTTTATTAGAGATTAATTTATTGAATATAAAATGATCATATATATTTATTATATATTTATTATATATGCTTATTATATATTTATTATTATATATTATATATTATACATTTTTTTCTGTGTATTTTATTGCCCCTATTATAATAATTACTAAATTATGAAGGAACGAATAATCGACAAAAAGATAGAACCATATATATGCATAGTTCATGTTTTTAGAAAGTAAATTAATTTTGATAAATAATATCTTCAAAATCGATGCGAATAAAATTATAATATATCTATACCTAAGCGTAATGTGAGATTGCTTTTAAATTTAGATTAAATTGCATTGTTCTTGTCGGAAATTTTGTTTGGGCTATGCTCGACATTTAACGTCTAAACAACGTGTGGCGCACGTGGCCTTGCAGAAAGCACCGCGTGCCACCTCCTTGCAATACATTCCTATGTCTCTTTCGGTTCTTTTAATCTTCTCTCGGGTAGGCAATGGCCTCCATGAAACAATCGAGAATTCGAATATTTTCAGTAAAATCACACACTATCAATTTGTTTCTTTGATAGCCGTAATGCTACATACATACGCGCGTGCGACACATACACATTCTTTTATAACTTTTTATAGCCTTTTATATTAAAACTTGTAGTTAACAATCAATTTTTTCAGTCTCTATTTCAGGGGCAATAAAAATACAAATATTTTTTTTTTAATCATGGGAGGTATTTTTTTATTTCAATAGAATTACTTAATATAGTATTTTAATGTAGTTTACTTGAATTTTACTTTTTATACGAGAAAATTTTATATCAATAAGTAAACTACTTAATATAATAGTTAATAGTTTATTTGCGAATTATTATTTGAAAAATATCAAATTTTTGACAATTGGCTGTTAAAAATTAACTGAGCGAATTATTAATCATTAAGATACTGAGATGAATGATAATTCTTTGCGGATATGTTAAATAATCGCCATTCATCATTCTTATAAAATTAATCGAAAGCGCTGAACTAGCTTCGGAACAGACAGCGAATTTTATTGAATGCGAATGCTATTCCTGCGAATGTTACTGCCCGACGTAGGTACGAGATTCCTCGTGCGCGTAAAATATAAATCGCATTAGCAAGTCAAAGTATACCACTCTCTCGCAGAGTCCCATTTTGAGACATTCCTACCTACGTCCGGCGCTTCGGAAGGGCCTTAACTCGATAAGTCCCCTCGGTACCTGAAGTGAGCTCATAATCGTGAACGAAGCGCGCAACCGCTTATTACAACCGAGGGCATTGTAAATTTGCAGGGAAGAAGCGGAGAAGTGCAGAAGCGAGAACGAGGATGAGAGCTGGAGAGATGAGGAAGAGAGATGGAGAGGAAGAACGAGTGAAGCAGGACGACAGGTAAGCTAAGAAAAGGAAGAAGAGAGAAAGGAAATGAGAAAGAGAGAATGAGAGTGAGAAAGGACAAGAGGGAAGGAGGGGAGGACAAGTCAGGGAAAAGAATAAGATGAGGGAGGCAAAGAGGAGTCGAAAGGACAAAGCGGCGCAAAACGTGCCCCTCAGGCATCTAAAGTCTTTCTTCAGCGTTGAAAATTTATCGTTCTACAAGCGCCGGCGACCAGAAAAATAGCGCGGGAGGAGAGAAAAGAGGGAGGGATGGAGGGGGAGGGTAGGAAGACGAAGAGGAAGTGGGTGCCGAGAGGAGATATACGGACAGGCGCGTTTTGTTCCATTTATCCGGGCAAATCTAGATTTTACACCGAAAGCCGGTGTTTAAGATAATGAGGACATTTTTCCCTTCTTTTCAAGCGCGGGCATAATTAACGGTACGCGTGTGGAAAACGCTAATTAATCCCCATGCGAACAGGCAAGCCGTTATTAGAAAAGGCGCGCGCGTGTGTGTAAACGCGTGTATATGCCTGATGAGTAATCGTGCCTATAATTATGCAGTTGAGACGCGCGTCCCTTGTGCGTGTATAAGTGCGTACGCAAGTCGATGTCGGCGCGATAATCCAAAAGCGGTAAAACGGTTTAAATTCCAGGCACATGTTTCGAGAAATAATTTAATTACGCGGCGATATAACGATAGTAAAGTGACGACGATAATTTGACGTTTAATGCGCGATGGAGCGACGCATATTCCAGCCGAAGACGTTTTTCTTAAGAGTGCCTATCGAAAGAGAATCTTTAAATGGAGACGCGACGAGAGAGAGAGGTAGAAAGAGAGATGTAGCTTGTATTCGTAAGATTGACTTTGATGTCCGGCTGCGTTAATTTATGATAACAATCATAGGTTTGTTGGGAAGATATATATATTTACACGTGTTTATCTTGGGACATACGCAGATTAATGAATCTTATTTTCTCTTCTCATGATCTTTCTCATAATAATGTTTAATGGATTTATCAAGTTATTATTTATTATTTCAATATTTCTTGATTATTACAACTAGATTAGAAAATTCAATTATATCATCTTGATTATCTTGATATCACAGAATAAAACTAATGATTAAAAAAATCAGAAATATATATCTTGAATTTATAGAATAAAAATAATAATGTGTTACATCATCTTTAAAAAATTGCAATCTATGCAATTATATTATGTCTTAATAAGATATAATTGGATGGAAATTATGTAAGATAAAAATTTACGTAGCAGTTTTCAAATGCTAATGTTAGAGTAATAATTTATATGCACAAATACAAAATGATTGTATTAGAGTAATTAAGGGTCATTATGCTAATTTGCATACTGGAAGCGTTACGTCATTCTATAATATATTTAAAATGAAGAGATCTGTGAAAAAAAACTTTACAGGTATTCACGCTATCATTAGAAAATTATCTCATCTTATACTTTATGAAAATTTTTGATTAATTACCTTTTTCACCTACGATTTCTAAATCGAGAACACAATTTTTCTTTATTTGCGCTATTTTTTTTCTCGATGCAAAATTATCTCTCGGATTCAATTAAACATATTCGCGCATCACTTCGGTAAGTGTTTCCCCGAGATGCGCATATCCTCTTTGTTTCTCTCCTTTCGCGAGCTGCATCCCACGTTCTAACCGAGTCCAAGTCCGCGTTCGCGGCTGATTACAGGGGAAAAGGCACCGAAAAGAGAACCACGCACCGATCCCCGCTGTTTCTCTCGACATGCCGCGCCGTGTGGCTCGTTCTTATATCCCTCGTAATAATAATTACCGAGGCGCGCGTGCACGCGACGGAGAGAGCCGAGAGGCGGCTGGTGCTCGAGAGGCGCCTAAACGACTCTGCGGCGGAGACGCGTGTGGAGTTCACGCGTGCGGAGTGATGTATGCCCCGTGTGTGCGGCGGGATGCGTAAGACGGGTAGCCTATACGTCTTACACGCCCGCAGGCGTCCCAAAGTCGAGTCCCTCGACGAGGCTTGTACCTCTCGTCGTCGCACACGCACGCGCGTACGTGCGTGTATATCTGCGGGACGCGCACACGCGCGCGCGTGCCGGCGATGCGACGAAATGACACGAGTGTACGCGGTCGTGTCCAAGTCGGGCACGCTCTATATTCGACATTGTATCGCGCGCCTCCCCGCCATGAATCGCCACCATCTTTCGCTCTCGCAAAACGCGCGTTAATTACACCGCGGGACGCGCGATGTAAAGTCACGGGGACGTTAACGAGTCCGCCACAGGTACTTAGACCGGACCGTTTGTCCGCGCGATGGGATATGTTCAAGTAATGTTGTAATTCGTATGTGGATTTTTTGATGTGAATTATATATCATCGCTCGTTTCGTTGCATCGGCTATTAGCATTAATTGTAAGAGTTAATTGTACCGAGATCAAACTTGCGTTTATCAGTTTTGCAACATAAAGGAATTGATTTTAGCTCATCGTTATAGTTATAGCTGATGATTAGATTTGTTTATATATTTTATACGTAGAAATTTGATCGATGTAGCTGCAAAACTGACAAATTTTCGTTACTAGAATATTAGAATAGAGTCGACGAATAGAGTCGATGTTAGAGGTGTTAAAGGGCAATACATGTTTAAATGAATATTCCGTTTATCCTTTCCGCGGACACATTCCACGTATGCATAAAAAGTTGAATATGTGGTGAATAAATTACCATAATAACTGGCCATACGGAGTTGAGGCTAGTCATTGAACGGCGCCATGGCGCATTAAACTTATACAGTCATTAACGCCGTCGTTCGGAGGGAATTAAATCGAACGATAGCTTCCGCATACCGTAATCGAGAAATAAGAAAAAAATATATTTATATATTAAATACTTTTTCCTTCGCGTTATTAATACATTAGACATAATAAGCCGCGGAGAGAAATAGAATACGTCACGTGCCGTCTTCCTCGAGTTAATACGAGCTCCGGATCTGGTCGGACATAAAACGCGACGGGATAGAATAAATAAGAAGCCGGGTGCTCTTTGCCTCCAGCAGCCGACCGCGAAATGATCCCGCGAGATGTTACGGACGACAATCTCAATACTCATTACGAATTTTCCGAGTATGTACATACATATATTACTCGCGGCGCATACGGTAGTAACGGCAGTAGAAAAGAACGGCGAGGAGTCGGCGACGCGCGCATAAGGCGATGGCGCAAGAACTCGTACGTCTTCGGCGAAGCGCAGAAATCAGGGTCGTTAACACCGGGTGCGCCGCGCCGACGCGGATCGGCCGGAGGTCGGTACCTTCCTTTTTGGATTATATACATACATATACAGGGCGCGCGGTACCCCTTCGTACGCGAACGGACGGATATACACATTGATTGCATTTTTGCGTCCGCGCGCGGGGTAATAATGCTAATTTGGTAAGTAGAAATGGGCATCAGCGGGCGGTCGGGCGGACTGTGGAACATACGGTAGCACGGGTAGCGCTAATGCCTCGTTTTTGTCCTCCTCCTTCCTCGCTTTTGCCCTTCTCCGCCTCCTCCTTCTTCACCTTCTCTCCATCTGCCCTCCCCCCCCTCCTCCTCCTCCCCCTGGTCCGCCACCACCGCCACCATCACCACCAACGTCTCCTCCTCGTCCTGGAGAGACTCTTTCCACCACCACCTCTTTCTCCCTCTGCCGCTGCTACTGCAGCACCACCGCCACCTCTTCGTCTCCCGTCTCTCCTCTTCGTCGAATGCGAGGCTACGGCGGCAGGCGACATAATGACGGCCAGACCTCAAACCTCAAACTCCTAACTGAATCATGAGTCCTCTCCGCTCGTCCGCGCCCGGGACTAACTTCCACAGGCGCGGCTTCTCGATTTACCGCGTTGCGGCTCCCTCCTGGGTAAGAGAGGAGAGCCGCGCTCTACGTGCCGAGGTCGTTTTGTCCTTTTCGTTTCGGCGACTCTCTCTCAGGGCCGACTTTTGTGTCGTATTGAATCGCAAACGACCGGGCGGAACGGGGGGTGCTGCCGCGAGGAGAACAAGGACGTGTGCGGATTGCATTTTTTTACAACTCACGCGTCGTGATTGCGAAACAGTCGCACTCGAGCTTTTAGCTCCTGCAAATTGCCACTCGAGATGTTTGATGCGATCGTAATGCATGGCACGTTTTAAAAAATGAGAGCGTATTAATACGTGCCAAATTCTATTATTTAATTGTATACTTTAGTTTTCTTTGTATAAAAATAAGAATATTTATTTAATTATATACTATCCTCGGAAAATAGATTGAAATATGAAAATACTAATCTTATATTTTATTATTTTATTACTCTTGTATTTTTGTTTAAAAATTCAATTATATGTCAAAAATGTCCGCATATTTAATATTGAATTTTTATTTTGATGTTAAATGTTACTCTTGCATTCATACTTTGTTAGTAATTTTTATATTTCGATTTAATCTATACATATCTGTGCACATTGTATTATATAAAGTTAACTTTAAACCTCTTGTTATTTCGGTTACATTGGAATAGTTCGACATATAACGTACCTTGTGGTCGAAGTAAGAGACGTGGCACTGAAAACTTTTCGGAAACCTTTATAATGGGTTCAATAAAAAGCGCCCCTATGGGACGCATGTGCTACAATGATCTTTCTTTCAAACCGCAAGTCCGGTCGATCCCTCGTTTGATTCCTGCGACAGGTAATCAATAACCGAGCGAATGGCGTGTAGGAAATTTTCTATTTAAGTGGAGGTGTCTGATACAACGTCAAATTGATATAAAATCTAATTTGTTTGTCATTTTTGTTAATGTGATTTATAGATGTTGTTATCTACTAACATCATGTTATTAGTCCATTCTTCGTGTACTTCGCGCAGATTAGATCCGTTAAATTAACAAATATCTGTTCGATGATATCAGTCTTTATAACTTCCAAAATCGTAAATAAAATCAATGTACTGAAACATTAAAAAGATTAGATGTTTAAAATTTAAAGCTT